GACTACAAAGGCAAGAAGTGACTGGCTTACAAGCTTTCAAGAGGGAACCTGGTGCTAGGGAGCATGGCGGAAGGCAGAAGCTCCAGTAGGTACTATTCAATCTGTCTTGGCGGAGCTGATGAAAGGAAATACAGATGGGTAACTCGTGATACTGTAGTGAGTAATGCTTTTCAGGACGGATTATGAGGATTGGAAATGCAGAGGTGGAGGTTTTGTAGCAAGAAAGGGAGTGATTAATTCTCCAGGATAGGAGCGATGGCGTCTGGGACAATCAACGGAGAAGAGCCGAGAGCGGGACCCTGCCCAGAGAAACAGAGATGCCTGAGATAGAGACAGAGATGATGATATGGTGTGATGAAGCGACTGGGGACTTTGACCCAAAGAGGGAAAGGGACTGTGGGCCGAAAACGGGGGGAGGAGGGGGAAGTGTAGGGGGTGGGTTTCTGGGATATACACTTTGGGTGGTTGATGATGCATGGAGGGGATTGGAACCATGGCAGTGAGATGATATAAGATGGAATGAATGTAAAACTAAAGTTCTCCCATGTAAACTATCATATAATTCACAATAAAACATTAAAATACACACACACAAATGTATTCTCTTACAGTTCTGGAAGTCTAAAGTCTATCATCAGTTTTATGGGCCTAAAACCATAGTCGTGGCAGGGATGTCCGCTGGAAGATCCAGGGGAGACTCTGTTCTTACCTCTTCCTGCTTCTAGAGAAGCTTTGATATTCTCCTTGGTTTCTGCCTTCACATTGCAGTCTCATACTCGGATCTCCTGTCCTCCTGTGGCTCTCTTATCAGGGCCCTTGCGATTACATCATGTCCACCTGAATAATGCAAAATAATCTCAATGCTTCATTTAATCACATCTGCAGATACTGAGGATTAGGACATGGATAACTTTAGGGACCACCCAGTATTCGGCATACCAGAAGAGTCCTTGTGGCACAGTGGTTAAGTGCTTTACTGCTAACCAGGTTGGCAGTTTGAACCCACCAACTGCTACTCAGGAAAAAGGACCCAGCAATCTGCCCCTATAAAGACATTGGAAAAGACAATGTTGTTGTTGCTGTTGTTAAGTATGCCATCGAGTCGGTTCCGACCCATAGCGACCCTGTACAGGGTTTCCGAGGCTGTAAATCTTTACAGGAGCAGAAAACCTCATCTTCCTCCCGCGGAGGCGCTGGTAGTTTCAAACTGCTGACCTTAAGGATCACAGCCCAATTCGTAACCACTATGCTATCAGAGCTCCTTAGAAAAGACAATATGAACACAAAATCAGGAGTCCCTCCTCAGGCTTTCCGCGGTTAAACGTGCACATTCCAGTCCTGAGACTGGTAAGGGTTAGGGGCTGGAGGGAGAGAGAAAGGCAGTCAGTCCCATGTGGGGCGAATCCCAGCAGAGGCTCTGTTGGATCCTGATTGAGAGAAGAGTTAGGATCAGGTCTGAGGTGCTGCTGCCCTGACGTCAAACCTGTGAGGTTCATCATCCCCCAACGTGATGGCAAAGATCAGCTGCTTCTGAACAGCCCAGGATATAGGGCTCAGAGCTGACGACACAACAGGCGAACTTCGGCCTGTAATTGTAATTCTGTGCCCTTCCCAAATTGTAATTTGGCCTCTCCTTGTAACTCTGTTCCCTTCCCTAGTCTGGATACAGGGACCCTGAGCTATTTCTCTGTCCGAAATCTCCCACACTTTTCCTAAGTGCCCTGCTTCCAATGTCTGCAGACAGCAGGGCCCCCTCACACAGGCTTCCTCCCCTGAGGACCCTTTTCTTTTTGAGATTATTATTTATTTTCCAAAAGGTCTCTTGAGTTTCGAGTTCAGCAGGCCATGTCTTGCTCAGCTGGAATACTACACTTCCTGGGACAGAAGGGGGATCCTGCGCACGAGTCTGCCTCCCTAGAGGCCTCAATTTCACCCGTTGTAGGAGCTGTCCTGTGGTTTACCTTCGAGAACTGTCGGAAGGCCAGAGACTGTGACAAAGTACCAAGACAAGCAGACGACCGTCGGAGGAATAACTGGGGGTCCTTAGGGGGCGAGGCCAGCCCCACCTCAGGAGCGTCGGCCCCGCCCCCACCCGGGTGGGCGGGGCTCACAGCTGTTGCCCCCGCGGGGCGAGGCTGAACTCTCCGCGGGGTCCTAGTTTCCGCCACGCCACGCGTCCAGACCTTAGAGAGCCGGACAGGCGTTGGCTCGCTAGCTCTCGGCTTGCTGGTGCTGGGGTGGTCAAACAGCTGAGCTCGCCGCGGCTGCTCCCCGGCTCCCGCTCGCTATGAGGAGTGCGCACGCCCTGGTTCTTTTCTCCCTGGTTGCCCTTTCCCGGCGCGGTGAGTTGTTTTCGAAGGGTGGGGCGCTGGGAGTCGGGCTGAACGGGGCTGAACTGACCACAGGTGGAAGGGAGGGAGGGCTCCCTGCGCGCGCGGGAGATTGTCTCGAGGTTGTCCCAGCCAGGTGGAAGTGTGGGGGGTCCCGGCCAGGATGGGTGGATCTGCGAGGTCTGGGGTGGGCATCACCTCTCCTCTCTTCGCTCCATGCCGAATGCCTTTAACGTGGGTACCTGGCCTGTGGGTGACTCCAGCTTGCAGGCAGCTCCACTCACCTCCAGCGCGAAGGGGGAAGCTTGAAGGCTTGAACTACCATCCCGACCGGGCCGAGGCACCTTCCTCGCCTGCGAGGCCACTTGACTTGAAAAGTGAGAACAGCGCAGCCTGTAACCTGTCCTTGCAGATGTCGGTGCAGAGCAACCCCTCTCCTCAGCTTAAAAAAAAGAGGTCTCCGTCAACACCGTGGGGAAACTTACCCAGAGGAAAAGCTCACCCAAATCGCCAGCTGTGGAATGTTTTGCAGTTTTAGGGGCAGATCTTGCAGAAAACACACTTTGGGGCACCACCCCCTCTGGTTACCCAACCACTCTGACACCTGGGAGGGAGATCCACTCAATCCTTTTCTAAACAGTGTCCAGATGTTGTGAGGGTGGCCCTTTGTGGGCCTCGGTTACCTCACCTGACCTTTGAGGTCTTTTCAGCTCTCTTTCTAGATTGTTCTCTTAGCTCTAGTCCACCTCCAGAGAATTCTGGTTCATCTTCCTACTGCTGTTGTTGTTAAGTGCCTTCGAGTTAATTCCGACCCATAGCGACCCTGTATGGGGTTTCCAAGGAGCAGCTAGCTGGTAAGCTTTAACCTACGACCTTGCAATTCAACCGGCTTTGCAATCTGGCACATTAACCCACAGGGCCACAGCAGGACTGCCATCTTCCTAGAGTTGTTGTTGTGAAGTGCTGTCGAGTCGGTTCCGACCCACAGCGAGGTTTTAAAGCAGGGGTGGGAGGGACCTCTGCTTGCTGAATGAGCCTGTCTCATTCCTTTCCACATTCTCGATCTGTTTGCCCATCTGTTCCATGGGGCTGGTATGCCATGTCTGCATATTTGGGGACTCCCATGATGTGTAAGCCAGTTACAATGTTATAAATGTGGTTCTGGAGCAGCCTGCATAAGAATCACTTGATACAGATTCCTGGGCTAAGTCAGAATCTTTGGAAGTGGGCCTGGGAATCTGCATCCGGGTGATTCTTACACACAGTTGAAGAAGCACTGATAGTATATGGTGAGCTTGTTATAAAAAAGAAAACCTCAGCTTTTTTTTTTTTTTTTAATCCACAGCTGCCTTTTGTTGTTGTTAAGTGCCGTCGAGTAGGTTCAGACCCATAGTGACCCTGTATAGGGTTTCCAAGGAGCGTCTGGTGAGCTTGAACTGCCAACATTTCGATTCAAAACGACTTTGCAGTCATTGGTCCACAGCACCACACCTTTTAGTAAACACAAATCTTGTATTCCCTTCCTCAGTTAAAAACACACAGCATATCCCTCAACTAAAAATCACTGTCTTCTGGTTGTTCACTTGCCAAAAAGATTCTGTTGTCCTTTACTTTCTGGAATGTGTATTCCAAAACAAGAGATAGGCCTTTTCAAAGTGCACACACCTCTCAGATGGTCACCCCTTTCTGCTGGGGAACAGTTTTCCAAAGAAGGCCTGGTTGTCCTGGAAAGCGAGCCTCCGGCCCATTCCTCATCAGAATCTTTGGGTCACGACTGACCCCTAGTGGTAGCCTCTTGGTTTAACGGTTTTATCTCTTGGATGTGACCCCAGCTATGCTCCAGAAGCTTCCACCCATTCAAACCCACCCTGTCAGCTTCTCTCTTGTTCCTTGAACCCAGCTGACCTCACATGAATAAAACAGCAGGCTGGAAGGCCTAAACATGATGTGTTCTGTGATTTCCACTCCCTTTTTGTGTGGTGGGAGTATGGCCCAGTCCACACCTACCCAGGTATCCCCCAAGTATTGTACCTCAGCACAGATGTCCAATCACAAGCACAGGTGCGAGCACATGTCTAGCTCCAGCCACTATCCATTAGTGTCTCTGTAGTCTCCTCAGAGGGTGAGTTGAGGGCATGAGGAGTCTGTCTGGAGGAAGGATGGCTTCCTAACCCATTTGCTGGGTAGGGGGTGGGATGGGGAAGTGGGGGGATGGTCCTTCATACATTTCTCCCTCTTTTTGGTCTTACATTTCTCAGCTAAGAAATAGAGAGTTGGGCTAAATGGTGTAAGGTTCTGGGACCCTATAACTTTGTAGTCCATAGCTGGTCTTCAGGATGGACGAGGGCTCCTTGGACTGAGCTGAATGCCTGAGAAGCTAGACAGGGCCAAAGGCGAGCACCTAGGCAGCTCAGGTGGGCTCACAGCCACAACCTGAGCTCCCATAACCCATAGAGCTGCTGTGCCCTCCCAGGACTCCAAGGCTGCAGATGTGGGATCCAACCTCCCCCAGCACTGCAAGGCTTAGGCCAACAGCTGCAGATTCAGGTCTCAGAGTGGACTCAGACATGCCAGTTGGTTTGGGACATGTCACACCCCGCTCTATGAAATGAGGAGTTGGTCTAAATATATACATTAAAGAAGGGCTACTGGAAGGACCGCTGGTAGTATAGTGGTTACTAATCGGGCTGTGAACCTTAAGGTCAGCAGTTCGAAACTACCAGCTGTTCTGTGGGAGAAAGATGAGGCTTTCTGCTCCCGTCAAGATTTACAGCCTCGGAAACCCTGTCCAGGGTTGCTCTGAGTTAGAACCGACTCAACAGCACACAACAACAACTGGAAGGACCCAGCTGTAGCCAGAGGCTATAGACTGGCCTCAGGGTATTCAAGCAGCTGGCCTGTGGCAGGGAGGGGGAGGACTCGTAAGTCTTTTTTTTTTTTTTAAGACTATTAAGTCTTATGGAACAATATTGTTAAGTGCTGTAGTGTTGGTTACAACTTGTTGTTGCTTTTAAGTGACATCAAGTCAGTTCTGACTCATAGTGACTCTGTATAGGGTTTTAGAGGAGCAGCTGGTGTGTTTGAACCATTGACGTTGCTGTTCAACCGGCTTTGCAATCTGGCACATTAACCCACAGTGCTTATAGCGCCAGCACCAGAACTCCATTGGTCCAGGTTATAAGAGGCAGGGCTCAGAATCTAGGCAGAGCAATCCCAGGACCCCCTCTGATAGCCCAGGGCAGTCTGGGAGAAAGACTCTAGGTAGCAGATTTGCTTTCCTCCATGCCCTGTGTGAGCCCAGGAGATCCCTCCCTTAGCTCCCCACCCTGTATTCTTCTTTTTAAAGTTTTTTTTTTTGTATGTGAATTATGTTATAGTTTACATGGGAGAACATTAAGTTTATATTCATCCTATTGTATTTTGTTTCATTGGAGTGATTACATTCCCCTCCATGCATCATCAAACAACCATAGGGTACACCCCGCAAGCCTGCCCCTGGGCCGTCAGCCCACAGCCCCTCTTCCTCACTGAGTCCAGAGTCCCCAGTCACTCCATCTCTCCACATCATCCTCTCTGCCTCCATCACTGGCATTACTGCTTCTTTGGGTAGGTCCCCCACACTCCACTCTTCTCCCTTGATGGTCCCAGGGACCTCCACTCCTGGACTGCAAAATCAACCACTCTCCTCCTTTTGTTACAAAACGTTTACCTTTACATGTCCAACCCTCACAGTCAGTCCTAATAGCAATTATTCACTATTGTGCCACAAGAGCCTTATCCCCATCTCCTTTCATCAGCCCTGTTCCATTGTCCGCACCCTCTGGATCTAGGCGCCCTCTTGAAAGCTTGTAGGCCAGTCACTTCTTGCCTTTGTAGCACCCCGCCCATTATTCTTTTTAGTGAAGGCAATCTCTGCATATCCACCTCTGCAAACAAAACTCATGTTTGGTTAATCTCTGGCACTGGAAGCCTTCTGAGGTCAGGGAGCATTTCGGTCATTTTCTTGCCACGATCCCCTGCCCATAACACAGTTTCTGAGATAAAACACTCAGATATTTGATGACTGGGGGCAATCTTGGCAGGAGAAAGAATGTGCTCCAAAATCTAGAAGTGAGACCATGCAGACAAGTCGGGCTGCTAATCGCAAGATCAGTAGTTCAAAACTACCAGTAGTTCCATAGGAGAAAGATGAGGCTTTCTGTCCCTGTAAAGATTTACAGGCTTGGAAACCCTACGCAGGGCCAATATGAGTGGGAACCGACTCCATAGCATACAACCACCAATAGGCCAGCAGAAAGGTATGGCCAGAGCCTAGAGAGTCTGGGATAAGTGTAGAGAGGTGAGAGAAGATGAAATGGTACCAGGAGAGAAAGACCTTGAATGCCAAGCCAAAACATTAAGCTTTAACTCTGTCTGCAGCTCTGAGGAATTATGGGTAGGGAAGGACCCTGGTTCAATTTGTGTTGTAAGAAGACCGCTGTGGCACTGTACATAAGCGGGTCAGAGTGGAGATGGAGAGATCAGGGCATGGCTGGTGAACTAGGGCCATGGATGGAGTGGGAGAGATGGGGGAGCAACTTGAGAGACGGGAAAGTAAATAAGCAGGACTGGTGATCACCTGATAAGCCAAGGAAGGATCAGGATAAACAGCCAGTGTTTGGACCAGATGTCTGGAACATAGGATCCATTCATCGCTAGAGGAAGCAGGAGGAGAAAGAGGTAAAGGAAGGGCAGAGAAAGTGTTGTGCTCTGACTTGGACCTATTTAGTTTGAAAGCAAGCCAGGCCTGCCATCACCATAACTGCTTTAGACAGGCCCCAGGGCCCGGTGGTTGCAGCCCAGACTCTCTCAGCCCTTGACCTCACTGCTATCAGCCACCTGCAGTGAGGGTCAACTGGATGGGGACCCAGCAGGTCTGATTGTGTGTTTTCCCAGGGGACTGCCGTATGGCTAATGCTGAAGAGAAGCTCATGGACAAACTTCTGAACAAAACCCGCTACAACAAGCTTATCCGCCCAGCCACCAGCTCCTCCGAGCTCATCCCCATCCGTCTGCAGCTCTCCCTGGCTCAGCTCATCAGCGTGGTAGGTGCAGGAGTAGCCTAGGCTGGAGGTTCAGAAGGAAAGGCAGGGTGGGTTTTCAGCATCGGAGAAAGAAGTGGCCTTGCAGTGGTCAAGGCTGGGAGTTGCGTGACTTGAGTTTTAGTTTTGGCTTTGCCTCAGATTCCTGGGCAGGTCCTAGATTGTTTCTTTCATCTTTTTCCATAACTAAAAATTAAAGAGTTTGTCTGAACTTTGAGGGCCTTGACTCTGCCTCTAAGTTAAGATATTTTCATTCCACAAATATCATCCTTGACTCCACATATGCTGTTTGTTCCCTTTGCCAGGAATCTCCCTCCTGCTTTGTCCACTCCAGCTCCACAGTTTGGAACCACCTACAAATCCATGATCTCAGTATTGAATAAAAGGCTTTGGCAGCAATGAACAGAATACCTTACTAAGAATGACTAGAGTAACACAGTCATTTATTGTATCACATAACAGGAATAGCAGGTGGATTGTTCCAGGGTTGGTTAGTTCAAGAACTCAATGGTGTCTGTCCTCTGTGCTTCTCTTGCTTTCTAAGATTGCAGCCACAACTCCAAGCATAAAGCTCTCACATGACATCTGTGGCAAGAAATGACAAAGCCCCTGCTTGGGTCCCCTTTGGAACATGAAGACTTTCCCTGAGAATATACCCTCTAGACAACTCCTGGCATCTCGTTGGCCTGGGTTGCAGCTAATGCCTAAGTCTTAGCCAATCATTGGCCAAAGAAATGGAATTCTCATCATTGGCTTAGACTTATCCATCAATACATGGCAAGAGAGCTGGAAAAGGGCCTGTGAATATTCAGTATCTATTAAGTTGGGGTTTGTTAACAAAGAAGGGGATGACGTTGGTAGGCATCCAATGGTTCTGTTTCACATCCAACATAGCCATAGCGTCCCCTCCTTGTCCTCACAGCTTCATGGCACTACCTTCCGAAGCTTGCTCAGCAGATGACCTCCCTAGTCCCCTGCTTGTTGGGAGAAATAGGAACCAAGTTATCGGAACTGACAGATACAGGGGCAATAACAGTGGCAGCTACTACACAGATCTAGTCAGGGTGAGTAAGGGTGTGGACAAAAGAAGCCAGTTGCTGGGCATTCAGAAGAGAGGGATGGATTGCAGAGTCCATGGGCAGGATTGTTGGGTCTTGATGTGTGAATGTGCAGTGGGGTGGGGGCACAGGAAGAAGGCTGAGGTGCCAGGAAGTTTCCCATCCCTCCTCAGCTGTCTCTGAGTTGGGAGTATCCTAGGAAAACATGGCCCATTGTAAACCTTCCCTGATGCAGCCTTCCCACACCCTGTCCCATGAGATTAGCACCTTGCTCCTGAAAGCACCTTTGAAGAACATTCACTTGAGGAAAATGTAGGGTGCTGTGTCCAGCTGTGAGGAAGGAGATAACCAAGGGAGTTGAAATTCCTCCTTCCAGTCTAGTGGTGCCCTTGTTAACTGCTAGGCTCTCTCTATAGCACATTGGGCCCCCACAAATCTGGAGTCTTCAAGGAGGCTTTGGCCAAATGAATGGTGGGCTTCCTCCCCAGGGGTCCCCAGGAAATAACACAGGGAAAGAGCTTTGTGTTGTGTCTGCAGTCAGACTGGAAGGAATCAGGGCTTCCAGCTTCCCTAGGCTGATATCTGAGTGTTACGTATCCAGCCAAGGGAAGTTTGCTTAATGTAGCAGAGCCCAGCTGCTACCCTACAGCTACTGCCTTGATGAGGGTGAATAGGTAGGTGGGCAGCCCTGGTCTCACTTCTCAGAGCCCACCAGATCTGTTCTATGGAACACCAGGGAATGCAGGAAAAGACACAGTTTCTATCCTCCCACCCCGTGATACTACTCTAAGCTGATGTGTTCCTGAAAGTTTGTAAATAGAGTAAAATACTAGGTTTTATGTAGTTTCTTTTTCTTGATTTGGAGGGATTTGTTTGTTTTGCGGAAAGAGGATTATGGGTACAATCAGTTTAAAAATGGGAAAAATGGGAACTTCTAGGGAGTTGTTAGGTGCCATTGAGTTGTTTCCAACTCATAGCGACCTTATACACAACAGAACAAAACACTGCCTGGTCTTACACCATCCTCACAATTGTTGTTGAGCTTGAGCCCATTGTTGCTGTTATTGTGTCTACCCATCTTTTTGGGGGTCATCCTCTTTTTTCCTGACCCTCCACTTAGCCAAGGATGATGTCCTTCTCCGGGGACTGGTCCCTGCTAATAACATGTCCAAAGTATGAGAGACAAAGTCTCACCATCTAACTTCTAAGGAACATTCTGGCTGTACTTCATCTAACACAGATTTGTTTGTTCTTCTAGCAGTCTGTGGTACTTTGAATATTCTTTTCCAGCATTATAATTCAAATGCATCAATTCTTCTATGGTTGGCCTCATACATTGTCCAACTTTCACATGCATTTGAGGGGATTGAAAATTCCATGGCTTGGGTCAGGACACCTTAGTCCTCAAACTGGTATCCTTGCTCTTAAATACTTGTCCAGCAGATTTGCCTAATGCAAAATACACTGTTTTATTTCTTGACTGTTGTTTCCATGAGTGTTGATTGTGGTTCCAAGCTAAATGAAGTCTTTGACAACTTCAGTCTTTTGTCCATTTGTCATGATATTATTTATTGGTCAAGTTGTGAGGATTTGTGTTTGTTTGATTTACATTGAGGTGCAACCTATACTGAAGCCTTTAGTCTTTGATCTTCATCAGTGTTTTAAGTCCCTTCATTTCCATCAAGCAAGGTTGTTATCATCTGCATATCACATGCCCTGTTCTTCTTCATATAATCTAGTTTCTCGGATTATTTGCCCGGCATACAAGCGGAATAAGTAAGGTGAAAGAATACAACCTGGAGTATATATTTCCTGATTTTAACCATTTCAGTGTTCCTTTGTTCTGTTCTAACAACTGCCACTTGGTCTATGTTCAGATTCCTCAAGAGCACAACAAAGTATTCCAGAATTAGCATTCTTTGCATTGCTATCTAGGGAAAAGACAAAAGATTTTTGTGCTGGGTGAGACATGCAAGCAGCTCTTTGTAGGGTCACAGCCCTGGTAAGCTGTCCTTAGGGACACTCAACAGGTGCTGAGGAGTGAAGGAGTGTGAGGGGCAGGAATGAGGCCCATGGGAATTTTCTGGGAGATGGAAATTTGTTCTGTCTTGAAAGGGAAGTGGGTTGCATGGGTAATGCATTTGTCAAAACTGATCAAAACTCTTCACTTAAGACCTGTATGTAAATTATAATAAAGATATTTTCATTTATAAACAGCTGAGGGTTTTTAACTTTCAACAATGGCAGAGTAACTTGTTTCAGGTTAACTTTTTTACAAGAACAATTTTTAAAGCTAGACAAAAATGTAAGGAAAAAAATCGGTTTGAAAGTATTGGAGAGTTCCCAAGACTTGAGGGGTCAGAAACAGGGGAGCAAGGATACATCATAAGATAACCCTGCCATCTGTGTTGCGTTTCCTCACTTGATGGTTAGTAAACCATGTAGGGCCAAACACTGTATCAGGTAATGTTCTGTTGCTATATATAAAGTGTTCATTGGCTAATTTCTTCATAAGTAGATTGCCAGTCCTTTCTTCTTAACCCTTCTTCAGCCCTGCTGAAACCTGTCCACCACAGGTGACCTGCTGGTATTTGAAAGATCTAGCATCACGGCAACATGCAAGACACCACAGTATGACAAACTGGCAGACAGATCTCGATTACTTTGGATACATTATCAGGAGGAACCAATTCTCTGAAGTGACCTAATCCCATGCTTGATAAAGTAGAGGGTCAGTGAAACAAGGAAGACCCTTAACGAGATGGATTGACACAGTGACCACAACAATGGATTCAAACATTCCTGCTGTTATGAGGATTGCACAGGACTGGCTCATGTTTGGTTCTGTAAAGCACAGGGTCGCTATGTACAAAGCTGACTTGATGGTATCTAACAGAAGGCAAAGAGAAGAAGCTGAGCAAGAGTGGTGGCTAACAGCCTGCAAAGACTAGCTGAGCTTTTGGCACCACACAGAGCAGAGACAACAAATACTGAGGCTGTGGGGGCCCCATCAAGGAGATGAAGCTTTAGTAGGCACCATGCAGGGGTGAAAATGGAAAAAAAAAAAAAAAAAATAGACCCGCTCTCACAAAAACTGCAATCTACTTTGAACAGCTCATTCGCTGTCTGGATTAATGTCCTACTTTGTCTGCCATAAATTCAAATTAAATACTCTTTGGTTACAATGAAATTGAATAAAAATTCCCTAAGCATGTCATTAAGATAAGACAATGAGAAAAGACTAAGAGAATAAAAATAAATAATAGAAATGGATCCACAGATTATCCAAATATTGAAGTTATCATACATGGACTTTAATTCTTTTTTCCTTAAATTTTATTTATTTTGTTGTTGTTGAGATTAAACACAATAAAACATACAACTCAACAGTTTCTACATTTAGTGACATTGGTTATATTCTTGGAAGTATGCACCCTTTCTCCTCTTCTTCTCTGAGATGTTCTTCCCTCATTAACATTAACTCATGGCTCCTTAAGATTCTTACCTAATCTTTCAAGTTGTCAATCCGATCCCATATGTTGTTGTTGCTATGCGCTGTTGAGTCAGTTCTGACTCATAGAAACCCTGTATAGAGTTTCCCTTAAAACAACATGATGTACAAGGCAGACTTTTTGTTACTAGCTAAGCTATTGTTTGATTTTAAGAAGACTTCAGGAGATATTTTTGGGTTAAGATATATAGATTATATAGTTTATAGATTTATAAATTATATAGTTTCAGGCAAAGTAATATTGTTTTTAAATTATTTTAAATAGTTTAAAAATTATTATAATGAAGAACAACAACTTCTGTTGTTGTTGTTGTTGTTGTTGTTGTTGTTGTGTGACATCAAGTCAGCACCGACTCATAGCAACCCTATGCCCAACAGAATGAAACACTGCCTGGTCCTGGGCCAACCTCACAATTTTTGCTACATTTGAGCCC